GATTGCTGTCAGAATTGCAGTTGATTTACTTGATAATGAGATTATGCCCTTCCATAGCCTCCTCCACAGCCATCTTGTGTGTAATTCATATTGTTCTTCACTGAGTATTTCATAATAGCGATAGATTTCATGCCAGCAATCCGATAAAATGCTAGCCTTTCCAAGCCTTGCGACTATTTCGTAGCACTCTCCATCGCAGAGGCGTTGTGTTTTGTTTTGGGAGGTTTTAATGCAAATTTTTTTTCTTAAAAATATTAAGTTACATTAAGAGCTAGCCCCCCCCCCCCCCATCGCCACAAAAACTATTCTATTGCTCGAAGCTGAAACTGATTAAGTTCGTCTCGACTGAGGAAAAAGACGATATAGTGGAGGAACTTGATTTGTGAAATCTCGTTAAAGCAGTTGTAGATATGGTTCCAAGAATGGATTTAGTTTAGATTTTTAACTGTTAAATACATGTATGTATCATCATAGCATGAATATTTCTTCTCAGACTTATTCTGTATCGTATGAAAGGGCAACGCAATTTTGAGAATGCGGAAATGGTGTCTCATAGAACTTAAAATGATTTAAGTTCGCCCCCTCCCCCACCCCTCGCAAAATTAAGGTTTGGCTACGCCACTGGTTATAGCTGTACGATTATAGCTACAAAGAGTTGAAGTTATTGTTTAAAGTGAATATAGCTGAAGTTAATAGACTTAATAAATTAAAGTTTTACAAAATCTCTCTTCAGACTCGCACGTTCGCCAAACCTCGACGGCTCATATTTTTCGTTCTGCCTTTTTTCCTGTTTTGCCCCCCCCCCGTGAAAATTCCTTAAAAAAGGCACTGCCTCCTGTAGTAACACTGGATCAATAAGAGATGATCCTTACTGGACCTCTAGGAAGAACAGTTTAGAACTGACAGAGCTATTCACTATAAATAAAGTTAGTTTAAGTTTAGGTTGCCTCCTATAGTAACACTGGATCTATAAGAAGTGATCCTTACTGGACCTCTAGGAAGAACAGTTTAGAACTGATAGAGCTATTCAGTATAAATAAAGTTAGTTTAATTTAGGTTTCCTCCTGCGGTAACACTGGATCTATACGAAATGATCCATACTGGTCCTATAGAGGAAGAAGATTAAATGACGTCGACGATACGGCCTACCTCACTGTCATGTATTTTCCTCAGAGGTTGATAAATTGATGGTGGTCCTCGATTTGGTTTCAAACTCGTGTATGAGCTCAGAGTTTCTTCTGATGTTTGGGGCTCTAAGTCGATTTCTGAAAAAAATTGGCAAATTACATTACGACAAAATAGTGAGAAATGACAGAAATTAACATCTTGAATTGATATCAGAAATCAAGGTGAGAAAATATATTTTTACCTTCTGCAAAGCTTGTACTCGGTTGCTCGCTGTTAGCGCTAGCCGATCGCGTATGCGTTCTCATGGCCAGCGAACCTCTCCTGAAAGAATTTAACGAAATTCATGTATCATGCTAAAAACAACTGGTCATAATTTTGTTTAAAATATAATAAAACTTAAGGTAAACAAGGAAAAATTGTTGCAGATATATTGTTTCGTATTCATGTTTCCCAAAGGTGGACGAACCAGGAAACATTGTTTCCTACCCATGTTTCTTGAAGGTAGACAAACCAGGAAACATTGTTTCCTACCCATGTTTCTTGAAGGTAGACAAACCAGGAAACATTGTTTCCTACCCATGTTTCTTGAAGGTAGACAAACCAGGAAACATTGTTTCCTAGCCATGTTTCCTAAAGGTGGGCAAACCAGGAAACATTGTTTCCTAGGCATTTTTCCCAAAGGTGGACAAACCAGGAAACATTGTTTCCTAGCCATGTTTCCCCAAAGGTGGACAAACCAGGTAACATTATTTCCTAGCCATGTTTCCCAAAGGTGGACAAACCAGGAAACATTGTTTCCTAGCCATGTTTCCCAAAGGTGGACGAACCAGGAAACATTGCAAAAATTTTATTCCAGTTTGCTGTAAGCAAGTTTCAAGGATATCAAATAAAAGTGAATAGCTTACCGTCTAGATGTCCTGCGACAAAACAATGCAATTGGTATAATGATAAGGGCCGTTCCTAAGGCGCCTGCAATGGCGGCCAAAATCACTGTGAAATGATCATTTACTACCACTATCTTGGCTTTTTGTATGTCATCTCTTCTGCGATTATCCCTGAGCCTTGTTGGCCTGCCTGTGTGCGCTGCCTGTTAAAATGCAAGAGACGAACTTGAGTTTGATACAAGCATACAGTTTGGTGTAGATTTGTAATTGAATCATCAGTCTGTCCTTTTATCATCCGTTGTTATCAAATCTTCATCAATATTATTTTAATAAAACACAAAACAATAGACAGTCCAAAAGTTGTAAACATTTTCATTCTTTACGTTTCGACTATTAATTAGTCAAGTCATCAGCTAAAGAAAGTGAAGATAACTTAAATTAATAGTCGAAACGCAAAGAATGAAAATATTTACAATTTTCGGACTGTCTATTAATTATTGTTTTGTGTTTTATTAAAATACTCTATGGCAACCGCAAATTTTGGCATAAAATACTATACTTGATATTTTTAATTTTTTATAGATTTTACGGAGTGTTGTAAAACATCACAAAGTGGCATCACCAAAGAGCTGCATGTTGGCATTTTACATGAACAAGAAAACATGGGCGTACGAGAAGGAAAAAATTAGGGGGGCGACTTTTTCAGATTGTGCCCGCGTTGTCAAAAAAATTTTCCGGAGAAACTTTCCAAAATTGTTGTCGACGGGGGGGGGGGGGGGGGGGGAGGAGTGATTACGAATCTAATATGGAGCATATTTCCCACAAATTTGGCAGAATTTCCCAGAATTTGTCCCATTTATTTTTATAATAAGCTAATATTGTCCGACTGTGAGGCGAATATTGCCCGACTGGCTTTGTTTGCTCAACAAACTGGAGGGAGTGCTGTCGCCCCCTCCGCTCTCCCCCCGCCCGGTACGCCCATGCAAGAAAATGTGTGTACTATTTAAAACACGAGCAGTCGGGCAGATATAACACACGAGGCGACAGGCGAGTGTTTTATATCTGATAAAGCACGAGTACTTTAAATGGCTTAAAAACTAGCCAACTTGCGAGTTCATTGGCGAAGTAATTTAAAAGTCAACGTTGTCTAAGCCGAGAAAATCAAAACTAAAGTTTATATAAAACCACGGACTTGGTAGTGATTTCCTTTGCCTTTTCCGCATGAATTATTAATAATCTATTTAATATTTAATATAAAGTAATACATTACCCTTTGTAAGTCAGATATCGTTTGTGACTGACTGGTTTGTGGTTGAGTTGTTTTCTCACGAATTTCAGCTCCAGAAAGTAAAATGGGATTATTTTTTCCTATAAAAGTAGAATAAGTACAAACGTTAATAAATAAATAATAAATAAATTTTACGTAACACGCGCTCAAATTACTATTTCTCTACTTAGTTATGACTATATTCAATTTTTATAATTTTTGATGTCAAGTGGCAAACAAACTTTAAAAGTATGTTTAGTGCTTTATCACTATAAAATTATGCTAAACTTAACTGGACAGATTTTAGATGGCACGCCAAAGAGAAAATGTTGTCTGAAGTACGTTTTGCTTACATTGCTGTATAAATATGGCATCAATTTTATAGCATCAATGATAATTGCATTTAAATTGACAATATTTAACTATTATTTTGTGTTTCTCAACCGCCAGATACATTTAAGAGGGTTGCTTTTTTGGCGTTTCTCTCAAAATTACTTTGTTTTAGCTTTATGCTGTAGTTCACACAGTTTAGCAACGGTTGCTAAACTGTGTGAACTACAGCATAAAGCTAAAACAAAGTAATTTTGAGAGGAACACCAAAAACATTTTAGGTTTTGAACACTTCTCATCGCAAATATGCGACACTGAAAAAAATTGCCTCTTAAAAATATCGATCACAAAAGTTATCTAACCTCGAACTCGGAACATCAAACAATACGATTCTTTCATGCTATCACGATCAAGACATTCCAATGAAACTTGGAATAACTGTTTTCTGACGTGAGATTGTTTCAAGCCTTTCCACTGCAAGAAAAATATGACATGATTTTTATTAAATTTAGACAATTAACAATCAATCAATATTAAGATTGATCATTCGATCATCCAATCAATTGATAATTAATCAATAATTTTACCCAACAAATATAATTAAGAAAAGATGAAACCAATACATTATTCATACCTCGATGCTGTACATATATCCGCCATTTGAATAATAATCTGAACCTTGAAGATGAAATGTGTCCTCAAATTTACTGATCGATTTTTCATGCCATGTGCCATTCTCGAGAAAATTCACCCAACTGAATCGGCATGAATGTTTTGTCTTGTCAAACGGAGCGTTGATTGGCTTAGAACATTTGTTATTTGCGCATTTCTTGGACAGATTAATAGTAGGGATGATGTCCGCTCTTGTATTCACGAATTGATAACGACACCCTGGAAAAATTAGTGCATGTGTAGTTAAATAAATTACGACACAAAGAAGCTAGTGATAAAATGAGTGGTCAGAGTGCGGCACTGGAATCGCAGAGCCGCATGTTCGATTTCTGTTGGAGTCTATGCGGTAAAAATAAAGTTAATTTATTTTAGCTTTCCTACAGCACCGTTCTTTGCAAAACTGTACAATTTTAGTATGTAACACTATGTATGCCATAATATCATAAATCACAAATCGGTGATATTGAATCTAGCCTGCGCGCAGATCCTACACCCGAAAAGTTACAAACCGTCTATCCGTAGACAATATATTGAATCCCGCACTTAATTTGAATATTTCTCGTTGACCCCTACTTTGTTTGCATGACCTCCGCAAGGGCAAGGTGTGATCCACCAACGCTTAAGACGGCGCCATGCCGCGACACTATGCCTATGACATCATATATGCGGTGAAACATATCCAGATAACCAACCACAAAACCTTAGATCGGTTTCCTAAAGTCGCAAGGCAATTTGGAAAATAGAAAGCGCTTCCTAAATTTACACTATTTGGTTTACAAACCATTCAAAGTGCTGTGTATTGGTGATGCATTTTTTGGCCATCTTTTTATTGATATAAATAGAAAATACTAAATGGATTTTAATGGCCCCCTGGTCTGAAAGATAAATTAAGACAAATGACCAATTAGCCGCACCTGTGATGCTAACTGATGCCCAATAGAGTTGAATCTAGGGCGCGAATACACGGACTTCCACAAGGAAGGGGATTGTGGGTTGAAAATGGCTTGTGAAACGTCTTGATGAGAACATTTGTATGCTTCAAAAATTTAAAATAAATGAGTGATATCTGGTGAGAAAATTGAACTTAAAGTTTATGTAAAATACAAAACAATAGATACTCGGAGTATTTATTGTTTTGTATTTTATCAAAATACTCAGTCGTTCCCGTAATTTAAGTTTATGTAAATCAGCATGATTTCTGTATCAGATATACAAACTCCTTCACACTCATGATTTCTTTTGTGTTTTCTTCATGAATTATTAATGGTTCACAACGTTGTTAACATAGATTTTTGGTCAGTTAAATTTTATATACAAGCGAGAAAAGTTATCAATTATAGTTGATATTCATATTAAACTCTCGTATAATAATAAAGATACTAGATAGTAAACAATACAGAGACTTTCTATAATATCGTTAATGAACTGATTATAGAGGCTAAAAGTGGACAAATTAATGGACAATGTTTTAGGAGTCTCCTTAGTCCTTACAGGTAGTACTTTTTTTACTTTTTTGTCAATATTTTGTAACTATGATTTCATAGATTTGAGATCACAATAAATACAGTATCGGCTAAATTCGCAGACGAAATTCAATCACGACTATATAGTATGGTGACTGGTGATTTGAAACGAATGAGCGCGTGCTTTGTGAACAGATTTGGCTGAGTGCTAACAATATTAGCCACCTGTGCCCAAAAGGCAATTAACATTTTGACATTTCGGTAACAAACGATTTCAGAATCGCATTTGGCGCAGCTTTGACGGCCTGACATTCATCTGTCAGGCTGTATCATTCCCAAAAAAAAACGCGCCCTATTCACAAGAAGATTATACTAAAATCAGGTGTTGAAGATTTTAAAAAGTATAGGCTAATATCTAAGACTCTCGACGTAAGATGCCCAATTTAGAAAATCATGCTGCCTTTGTTCTCAGGAAAGAATAATGGTGATAGATTGAACTTTGAAGCTCCAGTCAGTACAGCTTGCGCGCACATGGGTTACAGTTGCATTTTATTATATAATCTTGCAGTTAACAAACTCATTAATAATTCATGATGAAAAGACAAAGGAAATCACTGCCGTGTCTGTGGTTTGTATGTGATAAAAAATCATGTTCATTTACATAAACTTTAGCTTTGATTTTCTCGGCTTGGACAACGTTTATTTTCAAAACTTCAGCAATGAACTCATCAAATGTGTCGTTTTTTAAGCCATTTAAAACATTCGCAGTCCGTGCGGCTTTATCAGGTATAAAACACTCGAGCTGCGCTCTCGTGTTTTATATCTGCCGATAAAGCACTCCTGTCCGTGTTTTAAATAGTACTTACGTAATAATTTAGATGCTAAACATACTGTATCTATGAAGTGGATCATTATAATCTGAATATGTAGGAAATTGCTGTTGATGAAAATATTAGCAAAAGATTCCGTCGTTCGAGAGAACTTTCGAACATTATAACTTTCCTCAAACACTCATTAATAATGCATAAGCTTGTTGGCAAATCATGTCAACCATAATATGTCACGTGCAGTAGCTTTAAACCTGATAAAACACTCCTAATTAGTATTCTTTATATAAAGAATACTAATAAGGCAGTATCTATTGTAGTCGTGTCCTCATTAGTAATTCTTTATATAAAGAATACTAATAAGGCAGTATATCTATTGAATTTGTGGTCGTGTTTGAAGCCGTTTAATAAACTCGCAGGTCGTGTTTTATTAGGTCTAAAGCCACTCGCGCTGCGCGCTCGTGTCTTTAAACCTAATAAAACACTCCTGCTCGTTTATTAAACAGTACTTCAAAAATGGTCTTTGCTGTAAATGCTCGAGCCTTTAAATTAATCCTCTCTCTCTCTCTAAGGCTAGTTTCGTGATAAATGTGTTTGCGCAATTAACACCTTGGCCATATTGCCATCGCGCGATTCATGCTAAACATACTCGGTTCTATATGTACATGCAATCGATGTTCCAAAATATTCGACAATGTTGCATACAAAATTTAAATAAATTCAATCCTGATCCAACATTCTACCTCAATAACTGCCATGTTGGACCAACATATCGAACTGGTTATTTTAATTCATTGGTAACTCTAAACTTTTAGTGACTAAATGGCTTCAAATTGCCTGCCGAAAAATGACTTCTAAATGCCCACAACCTGGAATCGAACATAAGATTTCTGGTTTATTAAAACAGCGCTCATCTGACCATGGATCGCTGTTGAGATGCCAGACTGAGATTATATCTAATGATACAATCAACGAGGGATATATCTAAGCCACGATTGAGTGCAAAACATTTAGATGCGCAAGCCACAAAATATATAAACACTGTACAAAAAACTACAACAACTAAATATACTTACATGGATCTCTTGCTTCGATATCCGTCAAACATTTTTTCACATCAGAACGATAAATTCTTGTGTTCTTCCTGCACTTGCATATTTGACAAGTTGAGCTCACGCATTCCGCGTTAAACTTGTTACATTCGCACGCGTTTTTCGCTAAAATTCCTCCTTGGCATGTCGGGTTCTGAAACACATCCGATTCGCCGAGTAGTCCGTCGAAATTCGATGAAATCTGTAGCGCTTGTGAGAGCAGGACCAGCAGAATAAACAGAAGACGCTTTGAATTCATTGTTGATTGTCTATCCGTGTCTATTGTTGAATATTTAAACAGACATTTGGCAACGCAACATATGCCGCGCGCTCGAAATGATCGATTAAGCTTTGTGTAGCTATGGCACAATTCGATATAACGCGAAACCCAGACAAATAGCCTCTTAAATTGGCCCTTACATAAACTTACAGCTTAGCCTTCCGAGTTGTTTTGGTGGCTTACAGTATGGGATTAAGTTCTCAAAATCGGAAGGGTTGCGTGCTCAGGAAATGCTGATTAAGAGCCGAACAATAACAAAGCCAAACGCGAATGCTTGCGGGTAATATGATCGCATTTTGCGACCCGGAAATGACAGTAGAACATTACACAGGCTAGAAATGGACGGTTTTCGCAAAGGTAACGCCATTTTATGTACCGCGATGCATTATGGTCAAATGGGGTTGCGACAAGAGGCATAATATTATATTTAATTAAAGATGTTTGAGGTAAAACCAGTATTATTCATACTGAGTTTTTTTAGATGCTCTTTGCGTTAAGATATATATTTATTTCACCAGTTTATTTTCATTAATTATTATTAATATTAATAATGAAGTATCCAGACAAGCTAGCGTTTCTTGTTATTGTTTTTTTTTTTGCTGTTACTAGCTGTTGCGGTTGTTTCACTATTTTCAGTGTTATGCATTAAAGCATAAAACATTAATATAATTTGTGGGACGAAATCTCCTTGCGTCCTTGATGCACGATGTGAAATTTAATCTTTTACTGTTCTAGTAAAAATACTGATATTAAAAATGTCCTTATACTTGCATTAATTTTCAGTAGCTGCATTCATTTCTTTGTTTTTGACATCAGCAGTCTCATACCCAGGCTCTGGATAA